AGTCTATTTAGAACTGACTTTTTTTTAGTAAAAAATAGAAATTTGAAATTTTTTGTGAAAAAATCATAGTTTAAAAAATTCTTAGAATTAATATTCTCAAAAACATCGGTTTTTCTTTAGATAAGCTTGATTTATAATTGGTGCTGATAAAAATTGTTCTAACCCAATAAATTAATGGAAAAATCGCTTAATAAACCCGAGTCTAAACAGATCAACATCTTTTCCTTTGAGTCCAACAAAAACTGAAGTTTTCATCCCCCAAATCAGAAGCCAGTTAATCCTAGAATCATTCACATAATAATATATCAAGAAATGAAAAACAAAAAAAAAACATATACTTTTGTTACAATACTAATGAAACGGGTCATTCATATTAGTCTAACCTGAACCTATTTATTATTATTATAATTGGTTGTATTTTTTTTTTATTCGTGACGTATCAAGTTCATGTTATTTTATGTGTTGTGTTAGAGTTATATTGAACTAGTATATATATGTGAAAAAGAAAATTTATTAAATTAAACAATATTGATACTTGAACTTATATTGTTAACCTAATTCATGGGTACGGTACGATCTTGATAGAGCAAAGCTTCATAAGTACCCGAAGCTCTTGATAATGTAGCTGTAGGCCTCTAACCAGGCTAGCTGTGTTAGCTTCTTGCTTATAGCATTCAGAACTACAGTTCTAGCAATCTTAAGAAACTCTGGGTAAAATCATGTTAAGCAAGTAATCCATAGCATAATCTGGACAGCAAAATCAAAACCAACTGCATATATTGAGAAGTAGATGTCACAAAGCAAAATGTCATTTTATTTTTCATGAGACTCGAGAATGTGCGCTTATGTTTGATCCTCATTGACTTATAATTATTAGCTGCCCATCATCTTTGTGATTTATGGTTGAAATAATCTGCGTTCGTCTGTCACAATGTGCCTCTTCAAGTAGAAGCTGGAACTTCCCATTGTGGTGGCAGGGGACCGAAGTCGTATATAATCTCTCTGTGGCAAGACCAGACAAGCTTTATTGCTTCAGGAGTCCCTATTCCGGCTCCTCTTGGATCTCCAGCTGGCCCAAACCTGAAGCAGATTATCGTTTTCAAAATATTAACTTGTTGAAAAGATCACAATGAGACAACCCCCCCCCCCAAACCTCCTATGGGGGGGGGGGGGGGGGGAGAGAGGGGAAATACATTGGTATTTCTACCTACCAGTGATTCTGCGGAGCCCCTGTTGTTCGTGCTCTCAAACCAGCATAAGTAGTCCCATTAACTGACTTTCCAATAACTTCCTGAAAATGATTAAAATAAGTAGTTTTTTTTTTTTTTTAAATAAGTAGATTGAACCGGTTAAACCTAATCCAAAACCCATGGTTCAGTAGAAACAGTATTAATTCAATTCTGAAACTTGTTCCCTAGATTCATGTAAGGAAGCCATCAACAATCAGAATATCAAACATGCTAGGTCCTATACATAGAATGCATTTTTTTTTTTTTTTTTGGACCAAGGATTTAAGTGCCAGCATCATAGGAATATGACAAAATATTTGCTTAAAACATCACAACAACAGCATATTAATGTGTCTTTAAGCTATGATTGCTTTCATCCACACTGACCTTGAAAACACAGGCAAACTCAGAACTAATGCGGGAGTCTAACGCAACACTGATTGTTATGTTCTAAAATTTCTTTTTACCCAAAGATATTTCTTTGCAAGGTACAAACAATTAATAAACAGTTGAATTCTTAGCAATCACAACTGCAGCCAGCTGGTCCAACAGACATAATCCCAGCCACGTTCATTAGTTAATCTAAGTGCTAATTTATAAAACCACTTGGGTCATATGCTTTTACCACAGAATTTCACCTTACTTAACCGGCATCAGATTTCAAGATCATTTTTCGTAAATACAATGGTTCAAACATTTCAACTCAACTCTACAATACCAAAAGTGTTATAGGTCAAAGTCTCTTACCAATAGGCATTAATTGATTAGTAATCTCTGAATTACAATAGCTAATGAAGAAGTGAGTTCATTTCGATACTTTCCTCCTTTTAAGCATCTTCATATTGAAATAATTGTACTTTGCTTTCGACAGTTATCACAGTTAGAATCATGGGAAAAGCCAACTCCCCCATTAAGAAGGTGGGTAGTCTTGCCATCAATTTTTGGAGAAAATATTCATTACAACGATAATACCACGTGACAATACTGACGTGGTATCACCAACCAATAATATCAAAACAAATAAGCAAAGGGCTTACTAAAATTAATAACCAACTCTCCATGTAAGCAAATAACTACCTAAGTGAGACTCACCTTGTCTATTTGGTGTTTTATTATTGGTTAGTGATACCACATTAACATTGTTGACATGGTATCATAGTTGAATTCAATATTTACTCCAATTTCTGGACAAAGAGTTGTCCCTACTTTTAAGGAGCACACTTATCTTTTCAGATCGTTACAAAACTTGAAAAGGACTAAGAAAAGACCTTTTTTCCATCTTTCTAATAAACATTTCCAGTTCACCATCATCCAATCAATCGATGGCAATGTGGACATATAAAGCATGTTTGAGAGTTTTGATATTTTATCGAGTGCATTTCATGCATTAATTTTCTCTCTGTATACCCTAGTGCTTCTGCATTTCATTGTCAACGAGCACGCCAGTAACAAGAGTACGAACTCTATTATATACAAAAATCTGAATTTTATGTTGCGATCTGAGAGAGAGAGAGAGAGAGAGAGAGAGAAATCTACGGAAGAGGGTATGGTTGTGGCCACGGTTCAAGGAAGTCTAACCAAATATAACGGGATCACTGGAATCCCAAAAGTGCATGATCCAGGGTCACACAACCACAAATGGGGTGTGTGCGCGACCTAGATAGCTCAAATTCCTAATTCCATATTATAATCCTAACTCCAAATCAACCCATGATCTATGTAAACCTGTTGGAGATATAGCAGCAGCCTAGTTTATTAGGACTTATTAAGTTTTCTCTTTTTACCTTTTTATCCTTATTGTAACTTTCATTGGCTATATATACAGGGCTCTACACTTAGTTTGTATCCCTTTTTTCACTCACAATTATTCCAAGTTGGTATCAGAGCTACACCCTAACCCTAACCCTAATCACCAATCACCAATCACCACCACCAACCACTGCGGCAGCAAACCAGCACCCACTACCCACTGTCCAGAATACTCACCAAAGCCTGCCAATCACAACAGCCTACACCGACTTGCATCCGACTGCCTCCACAAAACACAAAACAGCACAGCCACAGTCACACCGACTGCCTCTATCAAACCAAGCAATTTGTGGATTTTATCTTGTATGTGATTGTTGGTATGAAAAGAGGATAATTATGAACCGAGGTTACTCGTAAGTATGCGGTTAAGTGTGGAATACTTGAAGGGGGGTAGAGGTTACTTGTAAGTATGCTACCTACCAAAAGAGGATATTATGAACCGAGGTTACTTGTAAGTATGCGGTTATGTGTGGGAGACTTCAAGGGGGTAGAGGTTACTTGTAAGTATGCTACCTACCTAAAAGGACATCTAACGACCGTGGTTACTTGTAAGTATGCGGTTATGGGAAACAAAGACTTGAAGGGGGTGGAGTTTACTTTTAAGTATGCCACCTGCCAAAGGAAATATAATAATCGATGGTGGAATAAGCGTTCCTTTTTGTATTACGGTGTTACTATTGCATTTCCCACAAGAGCTTGTGGAGGTATGGGACTCTACAAGAACTTGTTGGAAATGGTTATGGTTGCTCATTGTGACTTGGGTTTACTATTCATTTAAATTATTGCAAATGTTTAAACTTGAGATCTGTTTCAAATGTCACGGTTTTACTTCAAATGTTATATGATATTTTGGAAAATAAGACCGAACTGTTTTACTTGTTTTCTAAACCTTGTATGAGTATGGAAGGAATGTTGCTACAGAGCTTAGTGCTCATCCCCACAAATAATATCTTTTCAGATTTCGTCTATGAGGAGGAGTTACAAGTAGATGAACCAGTGCATGGGGAAGCTCCCCTAGAGGGGAACGGGGGTCTGAACTGGATGCCTAGAGTTATATTTCTTTTGTACTAGACTAGAGAGTTTATTTTGAAATCATGTAAAGTCTAGTATTTTGTTATTTCACTGCAAGTGTAATTTAATTATTTGGGAATATATTTGTCATACTTGGCCTATTCTTTTGGATGGCATTGTGGATATGACATATGATGAATGAAAGTTTATTTTATGATGGATAAATAGACCCGGTGTGGTCAATAGTTATGCATATGTGGACCCGGTGTGGTCAATTGTAATATAATTGTACAGTTGTGTTTGGGTAAAGCTCCCCGTACAAAGGAGACTCTGCCCAAATTTTGTTAAAATAGGAATGGTTGATGAATGAACTTTCGTCGTGATGAATTTACGTAATGCTCTCATGGGGTGAATGGTTTTTAGAATGTAATGTCACCCAAGGGGTTTTTGGGGCGTTACAGCCACATTACAACCTAACTAAAGTTCTTTTTGATTCCAGAAATCATGTATTTATATTAATTCTATCATTCTAAAAAGGAAAATGTTAATAGTATATTTAATATAGTGTTAATATTATTTTATGAGATTATGTCAAATTCCGCTTTATTCTATTAACTGCTCTTTTGATTACTACATGTAAGATTATTTGCTTTGTTCCAAACACATGTAGCTGTGATAATAGTCACTATAACAAGTGTGTTCTTTTTGTTGAGTATATTCCTAGAAAGGATTGACATCAAAACTACCATGAAAGAGGGTAACATTTCTCAAGTAATTTTTGAAATAAAGAAATCATTACATACACAAGTTTTTATAAAAATATATAGATAATATTACAACCAATCTATGTTAATCTTAGAGTGATCAGAAGAAAATATTCTTGCAATGCATACTAAATATTGATTTAATTTTGCATATGAAAAATATGAATTAGAAATCCCAAACTACTGAAGTTTGTAGGTAGCGTCACGAAAACCTTCATGAGACAAAACTCGTCCAC